AGGTGAGCAGAGGCGGGGGATGCATGGGCAGGGGCCTAGGCCTGGCACCTCCTTGTGTTGCTGTCCTTGGGACCCAGCTTCCCTCCATACTCTCTGTACCCACTCTGGCACTTCCCCTGAGGATAGAAAGGGGCAGGCACAAGTTCCCTACTGGCTCTGAGCTCCCCGCTCTGCTGCTCTGTCATCTACACTCCCAGGTCCTTGAGTCGTGGCTGCAGCGGCCCCTGCCCGAGGACCTGGCCGAGGCTCTGGCCAGCGGGGTCATCCTGTGCCAGCTGGCCAACCAGTTACGGCCTCGCTCCGTGCCCTTCATCCATGTGCCCTCCCCTGCTGTGGTCAGTTGGGGCCAGGGAGAGGGTAGGGGATGGACCAGAGGCACCTGTGGACTTTACCTTACCACATTTTCTTCTTTTACCCACCTCAGCCAAAACTGAGTGCCCTCAAGGCTCGGAAGAACGTGGAGAGTTTCCTAGAAGCCTGTCGAAAAATGGGGGTGCCTGAGGTATGGGGGCTGCTTTCTAAAGAGTGGTGGCATCCCCGGCTCTGCCAAGCATGTGGCATGGATGGCGAGCTTCCATTTGAACCTGGTGTCTGCTCTCAAGCAGAGGCCCCTGCCCTGCCCGGCATGCCCTCTGCCCTGCATGTCACCTGTCCTATATGTCCCCTGCCCTGCATGCCCCATCTTGTCCTGCATGTCACCTGCCCAGCACAACCCCTGCCCTGTACTCCCTGTCCAGCACGTTGGCATGTGGGCGTGGCTCTGGCCCCAGCACGTGAGGGCAGGGGTGGGAGGGACTGTCCTGCTGCTGCTGCTGATGTCTGTCCCTTGTCCCTGTCCACTTGCTCTCCTCTTCCCTCAGGCTGACCTGTGCTCGCCCTCGGATCTCCTCCAGGGCACCACCCGGGGGCTGCGGACTGTGTTGGAGGCTGTGAAGCGGGTGGGGGGCAAGGCCCTGCCGCCCCTCTGGCCCCCCTCTGGTCTAGGTGGCTTCATAGTCTTCTACGTGGTCCTCATGCTGCTGCTCTATGTCGCCTACACTCGGCTCCTGGGTTCCTAGGACCCAAAATCAGCCCTCCTTCACCCCTTTCCCTCCCCCCTTCTATTTATAAGGCCCCTGCTCCACGTGACCCTGCCTTCGGTGCCTTCAGCCCCAACCAAAGACACTAGTGCACCCCTTCATAGACACTGACCTCAGAGGCCCCACTCTGGTGCCCCCAGACCCTGGGCCCCCAGCCTCTGGCCTCCCTCCGGTAGCCCCATGAGTCCCCACCTCTCAGTGTTGACGGTGCCTTCATACCCCCGCTGGCCCTGCCCCTGCTCTCTGTGCCCCTTGAGGGGTGGCAGGAGCTGGAGTCGCCCCCTTCTTTTTATGCTGTTCCCCCTGCCAGCTGCTATGGGGGGCTAAATTATCTCTTATTTTGTAGAAAGGATCTATATTTGTAGGGGTGTGGGGCCCAGTCCGGGTTCCTATCTCTGTGTATAAACTGTACAGACTGTGGCCGCCTTGCCTGTGTATGTGTGTGTGTGTTCATGAGCATGTCTGGTCTGCGTGTGCGCGAACACATCTGCGCGTTGTGTGCGAACACGTCTGCTCTCCATGGTGGTGGCAGTGGCCATGGCCATGGCTCTGTGCATCTCCCTCTGGAGATGCCAGCCTCATGCTCCCGGAGCCTCAGCCCCTATGTCATTCTCCTTTCTGTTACCGCTGACAGCTTTCTTGGGTCTCATTTGTCACCGAGCCCCGACTGCACGGTGTCTCCCAGAATGCCCGGGCCTGCCCCCGACCCCCTGCCATGGGTGGGAAGTCGTCGGGGGCACTGTGGGGAAGCTAACCTGGCCCCTTCCCCCAGGAGTCCCTGTGCCAGCCCCACCACATCCTGGAGGAGGAGGGGGCCTCGGGAAGGGGCCTCCCCTACATCGCTGCTGTCGTCCACGCCCTGCTGGACCGGCCTTAGGGGTGAAGGTGGGGTCACAGGGCCCACCCCGCCTAGGACCCGGGAAGTAGAAGACGCACCTGGGCTCCATGCTCTGAGACAAGAACTCAGTGAGGGCAGCCTGGGACCCCTTGGCCTTCAGGCTTGGCCGTCGCCGGGGGTGGAAGGCCCACGGGTGTCGCAGGTGTCGTGTCAACTGCAATAAACAGAAGCCAGAAGTCCTCTGGGTGGCCCTCAGGTGTGACTGTGTCTGAGCACGCGCGTCTCGGGGGCGGGGTAGCCTCTGTTTCGGGGATTCTCCGCCCCGTCGCCAGGGGGCGCCTGCGGTAGCCCGGCGGGGGCACGCGCCACGTGGTCGGGAGACGCACAGGGCGCCGGCGTCGCCGCGAGGTCTCGGGCGTGAGCTCGCCACGCGGGCCAGTTCGCGCCACGCCGGGAGGGAGGCTGAGCGGGACAGGCGGCGGGGACACGGCATGTTGCCCTGGTCGCCACGGCGGTGGGGCGCGGGCCCGGAAGAGGCGCCCGAGGGACCAGGCCCCACCGCGAGCAGGGACCAGGGTGAGGCCTGGAGCTCAGGAGCGGACGCTCCCAGGGAGCTGGGGACACCCCCACGGGACAGGTGAGGGGCTTGGTCGGAGCCACGGGGGGGGGACAGCGACTGGGGCCTCCATGCCTTCGCCCGCGCTCTACGGAGGCGTCTCCATTGTCCCTGCTGAAGATTGGGTCTGTCGGCCTCCCTTGCACCAGGCACCCTTGGGCTACAGGGGAATGTGTGTGGGGGCAGGGTGGCTGCAGCTTCAGTCCCTGCCCCTCCAGCCCACAGCCCCCATCCCGCAGACATTCCTGGACCCAGAGAGAGCAGCTGCTGCTGCCCCGCCATCCGCCAGGTCCGGCCACTGAGCAGCCCCTCGGAGCCCCAGGTAGGACTGGCCCTGCTGCCTCTACTGCCCCCAAGAGCCTCTCTCACTGACTCTGAGCCTGTTGTAATCCCCAAGTGTCCCTCCAGTTCCCCTTCCCCCTCAGATGACCTGGGAGGAGGCCCCCTCGAGGATGACTCCTCTAGCACCCTGGGACCCCAAGTACGAAGCCAAAGCAGGGCCTCGGCTGGTGTGGGTGAGTTGGGGGAAACCTGTGGGGCTGGCTGGGGCACACAGGGACACCTTGCGGTGGCCTGAGGCTCTAGTGCTCTGTTCTCCCACCAGGGGGCCAACTGTAGCTCAGGAGCCTCCTTCTCAGGCCGGACGCTATGTCACCCCTCGTTCTGGCCACTGTATGAGGCAGCCTCGGGCAGGGGTCCCCGGCCCGTGGCCCTTGCCACAGGGCCTCAGAATGGACAGCAGGCGCACCCAGATGCAGGTACCTCCCTCAGTCCGCCTGGGTGCAAGGCTGCCCCAACTCCTCCGGGAAGCAGCGTCCAGGGGTGGGAGCCCCTAGCCCGCCACCCTAGTGGTGTCTCCTCCCCAGGGTTCCCGGTGATGTGCTGTGAAGACATCTTCTTCTCAGACCCTCTGCTGCCCCAGGGACAGCGCGTCCCCCTGTACCTTTCCGAGGCCCCCCAGCAGGTGAGAGCCCTTTCCCCTCCCTGGCCTCACCCCAGCCTCCAGGCGGGCCTGGCAAGAAACACGTCCCATTCTCTCTCCTCAGGTGATGGGCTCCCTGAAGCTGCTGCCGCCACCCCCCATAATGTCCCCCTGGGTCTTCCCCAGCCTGTCACCCTCCCCAGGCCGCTCCACCGCCTTGCTCAGTGGGCCAGAGCTGATAGCTCTCACTGGCCTGCTGCAGATGAGCCAGGGGGAGCCCAGGCCCAGCTCCTCCGCGGCTGCCACACCCGCTGCTGGCCCCCCAGACCCTGCCTCTGACCTACCCAGCCCCTGAGGTGGTCCCAGCCGTTTTCACAGTGCTGACCCCTCCCTCCCACAGACCCCAGACACCCATTGTTCATAGCCTTCTTGGAGCAGGGTGGGCTGGTTGTGTTGACAATAAAAGTGTTGGTTTGCAAAACAGGCTCCGTGTGGCTGGGGCAGAGGAAGGCATAGAAGCAGGAATGGGGTCTCTTTCTGTCCCACTGCAGGCCGCCCCCTGCTGTGTTAGGTGGAGGGCAGGGGTATCCATGACCTAAGTTGTTTCTGGGCTGACCGGCCAGAGCCCCTTTAATGAGTGGGTGGGTGGTCTGCATGGCATTGCAGGGCTGATTGTATAGGAAGCAAGGAGTCATAAACTCTGCCAGGCGGGGAAGTAGGGGCAACTCACTTTTAGGGTGCACTAGCAGTAAGATCTCTGGCACTCCCACACCTCTTGTGCTGGGGCCTTGGGAGTTCAGTTCTTGGCTGGGTTGGGGTAGTTGTTTGGCTCAAAGGAGACCAAAGAACGCACTGCAGGTGTGTGGGGGAGGGTGACAGTACACGTGAATGTCATCATTGGTGGAAGGCAGCCCTGCCACAGCCGACCTCAGACTCCAGATTCTTGCACCAACTCTGCAGGGAAACAGAGAGGACCAGGGCTTCAGCTGAGAAAGCCCAGAAGTGTGTCGTTTCAGTGGTTTGGGCAGGGATGGGTTCTAGAATTTTCTCCCAAAAAATAGTCCCAACTTCTTGGAGAACCTCCTACTCAAGACTTAGGAGCCACAGCTGGAAGGGACAGAGAGGGCAGAGGCCCCAGCTTGTTGCCCTGCCGGTCACATGTCCTAGGTGGCATCTGGGCCTTAGAGCCCCTCCCATGATGGGGGGTTAGGGGGGACATTACAATGCCCTTCCCTCCCATCTTTCCATCAACCCTCGCCATCAGTCAGTAGGAGAGAGATACCCAGGTCTCAGGTCTCCTCACTGGTGCCTCCCGGGAGCTCTAGAATTCAATGCCCGTGTAGCTGTGCAGGCAGAGTGCCCCCAGAGAAGGGACCAGGTCCAGGTCCACGTAACTGAGGCAGCTGTCAGGGGCTCCAGCCTGGTGGTGCGTGTTCCCAGGCTCTCCGGAGCTGCAAACTTGATGCACACTTAACTCCCCAGCCAGCTCCAAGGGGGGCAGGAGCAGTGCTGAACCCCCACCCATCCCCAGCCACCCCCCACACCATGATGGGTGCCCCTGGGCCTGGGTCCAAACTCCCCAACTCGGACTTGTAGGGATAGTTCCTATGGGCTTGTAGTCACTACCCACATCCTTGGTTATGTAGCCCCCTTGGGGTACAAGGTTGCCCCTCCCAGCTTTGCCAAGATCTTCAGGACTGCTTGCTGGGTTCCCTCTCCCAGACACCCCCAATGGCTCAGGCCACTTGACTAGGCCGAAAAAGCCGAGGTCTCAGGGATGGTAGACAGGGAGTCTGAAAGCGCTGCTCGCATGGTCTCTGGGCATTGACTCATCAGCTCTGTCGGCGACTCCACCGCTCCGGAGTCACTTCATGGCCACCAGGATGGTCTCGTGAATGCTTTGGGCCATCGCCGCGTGTCGGGCTCCTGCAGCCACAGCTCCCCGGGAGCGGCCGAGCAGCCGAGCTCCAGGAAGAAGACAATCCCCGTGGCCGCAGCAGCGCTCACTGAGCAGGGGCAGGTGCGGGGCATCCAGGGAGCCTCTGCCGCGGAGCCCAAGCACAGGCGGTAGCCGCTACTCAGGCCCTGGGTCCCCCCCCCCNCTTGGGACCCAGCTTCCCTCCATACTCTCTGTACCCACTCTGGCACTTCCCCTGAGGATAGAAAGGGGCAGGCACAAGTTCCCTACTGGCTCTGACCTTCCCTCACTCCTGCTCTGTCATCTACACTCCCAGGTCCTTGAGTCGTGGCTGCAGCGGCCCCTGCCCGAGGACCTGGCCGAGGCTCTGGCCAGCGGGGTCATCCTGTGCCAGCTGGCCAACCAGTTACGGCCTCGCTCCGTGCCCTTCATCCATGTGCCCTCCCCTGCTGTGGTCAGTTGGGGCCAGGGAGAGGGTAGGGGATGGACCAGAGGCACCTGTGGACTTTACCTTACCACATTTTCTTCTTTTACCCACCTCAGCCAAAACTGAGTGCCCTCAAGGCTCGGAAGAACGTGGAGAGTTTCCTAGAAGCCTGTCGAAAAATGGGGGTGCCTGAGGTATGGGGGCTGCTTTCTAAAGAGTGGTGGCATCCCCGGCTCTGCCAAGCATGTGGCATGGATGGCGAGCTTCCATTTGAACCTGGTGTCTGCTCTCAAGCAGAGGCCCCTGCCCTGCCCGGCATGCCCTCTGCCCTGCATGTCACCTGTCCTATATGTCCCCTGCCCTGCATGCCCCATCTTGTCCTGCATGTCACCTGCCCAGCACAACCCCTGCCCTGTACTCCCTGTCCAGCACGTTGGCATGTGGGCGTGGCTCTGGCCCCAGCACGTGAGGGCAGGGGTGGGAGGGACTGTCCTGCTGCTGCTGCTGATGTCTGTCCCTTGTCCCTGTCCACTTGCTCTCCTCTTCCCTCAGGCTGACCTGTGCTCGCCCTCGGATCTCCTCCAGGGCACCACCCGGGGGCTGCGGACTGTGTTGGAGGCTGTGAAGCGGGTGGGGGGCAAGGCCCTGCCGCCCCTCTGGCCCCCCTCTGGTCTAGGTGGCTTCATAGTCTTCTACGTGGTCCTCATGCTGCTGCTCTATGTCGCCTACACTCGGCTCCTGGGTTCCTAGGACCCAAAATCAGCCCTCCTTCACCCCTTTCCCTCCCCCCTTCTATTTATAAGGCCCCTGCTCCACGTGACCCTGCCTTCGGTGCCTTCAGCCCCAACCAAAGACACTAGTGCACCCCTTCATAGACACTGACCTCAGAGGCCCCACTCTGGTGCCCCCAGACCCTGGGCCCCCAGCCTCTGGCCTCCCTCCGGTAGCCCCATGAGTCCCCACCTCTCAGTGTTGACGGTGCCTTCATACCCCCGCTGGCCCTGCCCCTGCTCTCTGTGCCCCTTGAGGGGTGGCAGGAGCTGGAGTCGCCCCCTTCTTTTTATGCTGTTCCCCCTGCCAGCTGCTATGGGGGGCTAAATTATCTCTTATTTTGTAGAAAGGATCTATATTTGTAGGGGTGTGGGGCCCAGTCCGGGTTCCTATCTCTGTGTATAAACTGTACAGACTGTGGCCGCCTTGCCTGTGTATGTGTGTGTGTGTTCATGAGCATGTCTGGTCTGCGTGTGCGCGAACACATCTGCGCGTTGTGTGCGAACACGTCTGCTCTCCATGGTGGTGGCAGTGGCCATGGCCATGGCTCTGTGCATCTCCCTCTGGAGATGCCAGCCTCATGCTCCCGGAGCCTCAGCCCCTATGTCATTCTCCTTTCTGTTACCGCTGACAGCTTTCTTGGGTCTCATTTGTCACCGAGCCCCGACTGCACGGTGTCTCCCAGAATGCCCGGGCCTGCCCCCGACCCCCTGCCATGGGTGGGAAGTCGTCGGGGGCACTGTGGGGAAGCTAACCTGGCCCCTTCCCCCAGGAGTCCCTGTGCCAGCCCCACCACATCCTGGAGGAGGAGGGGGCCTCGGGAAGGGGCCTCCCCTACATCGCTGCTGTCGTCCACGCCCTGCTGGACCGGCCTTAGGGGTGAAGGTGGGGTCACAGGGCCCACCCCGCCTAGGACCCGGGAAGTAGAAGACGCACCTGGGCTCCATGCTCTGAGACAAGAACTCAGTGAGGGCAGCCTGGGACCCCTTGGCCTTCAGGCTTGGCCGTCGCCGGGGGTGGAAGGCCCACGGGTGTCGCAGGTGTCGTGTCAACTGCAATAAACAGAAGCCAGAAGTCCTCTGGGTGGCCCTCAGGTGTGACTGTGTCTGAGCACGCGCGTCTCGGGGGCGGGGTAGCCTCTGTTTCGGGGATTCTCCGCCCCGTCGCCAGGGGGCGCCTGCGGTAGCCCGGCGGGGGCACGCGCCACGTGGTCGGGAGACGCACAGGGCGCCGGCGTCGCCGCGAGGTCTCGGGCGTGAGCTCGCCACGCGGGCCAGTTCGCGCCACGCCGGGAGGGAGGCTGAGCGGGACAGGCGGCGGGGACACGGCATGTTGCCCTGGTCGCCACGGCGGTGGGGCGCGGGCCCGGAAGAGGCGCCCGAGGGACCAGGCCCCACCGCGAGCAGGGACCAGGGTGAGGCCTGGAGCTCAGGAGCGGACGCTCCCAGGGAGCTGGGGACACCCCCACGGGACAGGTGAGGGGCTTGGTCGGAGCCACGGGGGGGGGACAGCGACTGGGGCCTCCATGCCTTCGCCCGCGCTCTACGGAGGCGTCTCCATTGTCCCTGCTGAAGATTGGGTCTGTCGGCCTCCCTTGCACCAGGCACCCTTGGGCTACAGGGGAATGTGTGTGGGGGCAGGGTGGCTGCAGCTTCAGTCCCTGCCCCTCCAGCCCACAGCCCCCATCCCGCAGACATTCCTGGACCCAGAGAGAGCAGCTGCTGCTGCCCCGCCATCCGCCAGGTCCGGCCACTGAGCAGCCCCTCGGAGCCCCAGGTAGGACTGGCCCTGCTGCCTCTACTGCCCCCAAGAGCCTCTCTCACTGACTCTGAGCCTGTTGTAATCCCCAAGTGTCCCTCCAGTTCCCCTTCCCCCTCAGATGACCTGGGAGGAGGCCCCCTCGAGGATGACTCCTCTAGCACCCTGGGACCCCAAGTACGAAGCCAAAGCAGGGCCTCGGCTGGTGTGGGTGAGTTGGGGGAAACCTGTGGGGCTGGCTGGGGCACACAGGGACACCTTGCGGTGGCCTGAGGCTCTAGTGCTCTGTTCTCCCACCAGGGGGCCAACTGTAGCTCAGGAGCCTCCTTCTCAGGCCGGACGCTATGTCACCCCTCGTTCTGGCCACTGTATGAGGCAGCCTCGGGCAGGGGTCCCCGGCCCGTGGCCCTTGCCACAGGGCCTCAGAATGGACAGCAGGCGCACCCAGATGCAGGTACCTCCCTCAGTCCGCCTGGGTGCAAGGCTGCCCCAACTCCTCCGGGAAGCAGCGTCCAGGGGTGGGAGCCCCTAGCCCGCCACCCTAGTGGTGTCTCCTCCCCAGGGTTCCCGGTGATGTGCTGTGAAGACATCTTCTTCTCAGACCCTCTGCTGCCCCAGGGACAGCGCGTCCCCCTGTACCTTTCCGAGGCCCCCCAGCAGGTGAGAGCCCTTTCCCCTCCCTGGCCTCACCCCAGCCTCCAGGCGGGCCTGGCAAGAAACACGTCCCATTCTCTCTCCTCAGGTGATGGGCTCCCTGAAGCTGCTGCCGCCACCCCCCATAATGTCCCCCTGGGTCTTCCCCAGCCTGTCACCCTCCCCAGGCCGCTCCACCGCCTTGCTCAGTGGGCCAGAGCTGATAGCTCTCACTGGCCTGCTGCAGATGAGCCAGGGGGAGCCCAGGCCCAGCTCCTCCGCGGCTGCCACACCCGCTGCTGGCCCCCCAGACCCTGCCTCTGACCTACCCAGCCCCTGAGGTGGTCCCAGCCGTTTTCACAGTGCTGACCCCTCCCTCCCACAGACCCCAGACACCCATTGTTCATAGCCTTCTTGGAGCAGGGTGGGCTGGTTGTGTTGACAATAAAAGTGTTGGTTTGCAAAACAGGCTCCGTGTGGCTGGGGCAGAGGAAGGCATAGAAGCAGGAATGGGGTCTCTTTCTGTCCCACTGCAGGCCGCCCCCTGCTGTGTTAGGTGGAGGGCAGGGGTATCCATGACCTAAGTTGTTTCTGGGCTGACCGGCCAGAGCCCCTTTAATGAGTGGGTGGGTGGTCTGCATGGCATTGCAGGGCTGATTGTATAGGAAGCAAGGAGTCATAAACTCTGCCAGGCGGGGAAGTAGGGGCAACTCACTTTTAGGGTGCACTAGCAGTAAGATCTCTGGCACTCCCACACCTCTTGTGCTGGGGCCTTGGGAGTTCAGTTCTTGGCTGGGTTGGGGTAGTTGTTTGGCTCAAAGGAGACCAAAGAACGCACTGCAGGTGTGTGGGGGAGGGTGACAGTACACGTGAATGTCATCATTGGTGGAAGGCAGCCCTGCCACAGCCGACCTCAGACTCCAGATTCTTGCACCAACTCTGCAGGGAAACAGAGAGGACCAGGGCTTCAGCTGAGAAAGCCCAGAAGTGTGTCGTTTCAGTGGTTTGGGCAGGGATGGGTTCTAGAATTTTCTCCCAAAAAATAGTCCCAACTTCTTGGAGAACCTCCTACTCAAGACTTAGGAGCCACAGCTGGAAGGGACAGAGAGGGCAGAGGCCCCAGCTTGTTGCCCTGCCGGTCACATGTCCTAGGTGGCATCTGGGCCTTAGAGCCCCTCCCATGATGGGGGGTTAGGGGGGACATTACAATGCCCTTCCCTCCCATCTTTCCATCAACCCTCGCCATCAGTCAGTAGGAGAGAGATACCCAGGTCTCAGGTCTCCTCACTGGTGCCTCCCAGGAGCTCTAGAATTCAATGCCCGTGTAGCTGTGCAGGCAGAGTGCCCCCAGAGAAGGGACCAGGTCCAGGTCCACGTAACTGAGGCAGCTGTCAGGGGCTCCAGCCTGGTGGTGCGTGTTCCCAGGCTCTCCGGAGCTGCAAACTTGATGCACACTTAACTCCCCAGCCAGCTCCAAGGGGGGCAGGAGCAGTGCTGAACCCCCACCCATCCCCAGCCACCCCCCACACCATGATGGGTGCCCCTGGGCCTGGGTCCAAACTCCCCAACTCGGACTTGTAGGGATAGTTCCTATGGGCTTGTAGTCACTACCCACATCCTTGGTTATGTAGCCCCCTTGGGGTACAAGGTTGCCCCTCCCAGCTTTGCCAAGATCTTCAGGACTGCTTGCTGGGTTCCCTCTCCCAGACACCCCCAATGGCTCAGGCCACTTGACTAGGCCGAAAAAGCCGAGGTCTCAGGGATGGTAGACAGGGAGTCTGAAAGCGCTGCTCGCATGGTCTCTGGGCATTGACTCATCAGCTCTGTCGGCGACTCCACCGCTCCGGAGTCACTTCATGGCCACCAGGATGGTCTCGTGAATGCTTTGGGCCATCGCCGCGTGTCGGGCTCCTGCAGCCACAGCTCCCCGGGAGCGGCCGAGCAGCCGAGCTCCAGGAAGAAGACAATCCCCGTGGCCGCAGCAGCGCTCACTGAGCAGGGGCAGGTGCGGGGCATCCAGGGAGCCTCTGCCGCGGAGCCCAAGCACAGGCGGTAGCCGCTACTCAGGCCCTGGGTCCCCCCCCCCCGCCCCGCCCCGAGCAACTTGGGCCACAGCGTCAGGAGCCAGACCACCTGGAATGGAGCGAGGATCCGGCTGTTAGCCAGGAGTCCAGTGGCGCGATCTTGGCTCATTGCAACCTCCGCTTGCCCTTTTCAAACAAATCTCCCGCCTCAGCCTCCCGAGTAGCTGGGATTACAGGCGCCTGCCACCACGCCCGGTTAATTTTTGTATTTTTAGTAGAGACTGGGATTCGCCATGTTGGCCAGGCTGGTCTTCAACTCTTGACCTCAGGCGATACGCCCGCCTCGGCCTCCCAAAGTGCTGAGATTACAGATGTGAGCCACGGCGCCTGGCCTATGCCGGGAGAACTCTAAACCTGCAAATCCTTTAATGTTTGAACTTTCGGTGACCCGGAGGAGGGGCGAGCCATGGAGAAACCACAGCCACAAGCCCCCCGGGGCCTCCGGCAGCCCGGGGCTCGGGCCTCACTGGCGGCGCCTAGTGCCTCGAGCTGGGCGTTGTACCACGCCTGCTCCTCCGCCTCGCTGGCTGCCGCTACGCACAGCTGCTATCGCGGGTGTAGAGGGCGATACGCGGCGCTGGCGTGCATCTGCGCACTTGCTGGTAGTGCACGCGCCCGCCGGGCTCAGGCTGTGCTGAGGCCGCGCTCGGAACACAGCTTCTGCTCACTCTCGGAATACTCGGGACGCGGCCGGTCTGTGCGCAAGTGGCCGCAGAACCGGACGTCGGCCAGGCAGGCCCAGGGCAGCGACGGGCTGAGGGGCACGGCGGCCTATTGGGACTCCGGGCTCGCTCCGGGGCCACCGCCTGCGGGCTTCATCCAGGCTCGAAGGCAATAAAGTAGCCACAGGAAGGGTAGAGATGGCTGTGTCTCCCGTCCTGGGCGCGGGGAGAGGCCTGTAGGGGTGGGGCTGAAGTGGCGAACCCTGTGGACTGGGAGCAGCAGCTAGGCAGGCTGCCATCCGTCTTGATGCCCAGCGTCTCTCCCGGGCTCCCTACTGGAAGTTTGGGGCACGGGCTCTGCACATAGCTGGTGTCCTGGTGGTTACTGCCCGTGGCCTGGACCCACCACTACGGAACCCCCACTCCACGAGGCTAAACCTCAGGTGCCCTAGTGCTGGAATTTGAGTAGGGAAGTCCAGGAGAGGAGGCTTCAACCCCGAGACTGAGCCTTTATAGGGTTAGGGAGCGTGGGGGCATCTCTGCAAATTAGCCGACTGCAGCAGGGACGTCGGGGCAACCGAGAAAGCCTCAGTGTGAGGCCAGTGTGACTGGATTTGTGGCAGCAGTGGTGGCGTGGGCAATTAGAGGGTGGCATAGCAGGGCCCCCATGCAGCAGGGGCCTCCGTGCAACCTGCTGGCTCTTGCTGCACCTACCTTGGTCTATAGGTATCCTTCCCTCATGTACCCCCTTCCCATCGAGGAGTGGTCTTGTGCCCTTCCAAGTAACCCTAGTAGCCACCGTGACTGAGCACTGCATGGGATTATCTCTGAGCTGGAGATTCAGTTTCTTGAAGGTTTGGGGTGATAGGTGTCTTGGAATAAGCTTAAGGGGTAATCCCTGTGCACAGACCATACCCGCTGGAACCCAGTCAAATGGCCGCTGAACGAGACCTCAG